GACTGGTGAAGGTCAGAAGTGACTTTTAATCCCTTTTTTCCTCGCCCTTGGTGCATGGAGAGGCATTTGATTGTGATGAGCACAATGATAAAGGTAACAGAAATCAATGTTGTTCTCCATGCTGCAGCCATGTCCGTCACTAGTCAAGATCCAAGTCCATCCGGCCTGGCTCTGCTGGAATTCAGGTCACAGCCTCCAAGGGCTGCCTGCGGCAAATGATGGGAATTGATTTCTTTCCCCCTCATTTTACTTATCAGAAAATGCAACAGATCCATTAAACATTGTTTGCTAAGATAGAACTTCAGATGCTCTCTCTCTGCTCCACCCCACCTGGAGCACTGTGTCCAGTTCTGGTGACCCAGACTCAAGGACATGGAACTGTTGGAGCAAGTCCAGGGGAGGTCATGGAGTTGCTGAGGGGGCTGCAGCACCTCCCTAATGGAACTGGGATGGGGGAGCTGGGAATGGTCAGCCTGGAGAAGAGAAGGTTGTGTGGAGACCTCACTTCCAGGGACTGCAGGGGATCCAGGAAAGCCAGGGAGGGGCAATTCATCAGGAGTGACAGGACACAGAATGGCTTCCCACTGCCACAGGCAGGGTTAGATGGGATATTGGGAAGGAATTGTTCCCTGTCAGGGTGGGCAGGCCCTGGCACAGGGTGCCCAGAGCAGCTGTGGCTGCCCCTGGATCTCTGGAGGTGTCCAGGGCCAGTCTGTACAGGGCTTGGAGCAGCCTGGGCTAATGGAAGGTGTCCCTGCCTGGGATGGCTCTGGATTAAGCTGTGAGGTCCCTTCCAACCCAAACCATCCCCTGGTTCCATGATTCCATAACAAAGGCCAGGGACAGAATGATAATCAGAGTCCTGCTGCCTTGCCTAAAATTGTGCAAGGACAGAAAGCAAAATTTGGCCCAGAGAAATAGTGCTACCTCAAACCAAGGGTAAAAAAAAATAAGTAAAATAAAATAGTGACAAAAAATAACTTTCTGTCACCAGAAAGTAAAAACATAAGGGAAGGGGGATGCTGAAGGATCCTAAGCCAGTTTTCTGGGACAGACTCATAAAGGATCATCCTCCTCTCTGCAAACATGTGGAAGTGTGAATATTCCATCAGATCTCCACAACAAACCTAATCTGTATTGCACCAGTGCCCTACCTCATTTTAGCAGTGCAAAATAGCCAAAGCTTTAGAGAATAGCTCAGCCATCTGCGCCTGCAGGTGTTTACAATACAGAATAAATTAAGAAGTGACAAGGCATTGAGAAGGTTACAGTTGAATAATTACCAAGGAAAACTCAAAATCTTATGCACCATTTCAGCTCCTGAAGATGGAGTAGCTTCCTCTGTCCTTTTAAAATCATTTTCCACTCTTGCTTAGTTTGCCCTTCTGTCTGAAGGACACCTCCCTTCTTCAAATAGAAAACTTGCAGAAGTTTTGTCAATACTTGTGGTAACAAGAAGTTTTATTCCTTTTTTATTTAATTGATGTGAGCACAAAGTCATGTTCCATCCATGTTCTGTGACAGCATCTTCTGCCTCTGGTTTTCTTTCTGAAAACCTCTAGAAAAATTCAGTTTAGACATTGTGAAAAGAAATACGTGGAAATATGTGGGATCTGGGATATTCCCAAGGTTTTCTTCCTGATTATGAACCTGTCCCATGGAAGGCATTCTTTACTCAGAGGGAGGTGAGGCCTTGGCACAGGTTGGCCTGAGAAGCTGTGGCTGCCCCTGGATCCCTGGAAGTGTTGGAAAGGAAAAGGGAAAGAAAAAGGAGAAGGAAAAGGAAGAGTGAGTGGGAAAAGGGAGGAGGAAAAGGGAAGAAGGAAAATGTAGAGTAAGAGGAGAAGGGAGAGGAATAGGAGAAAAGGGAAAGGTAAGAGGAAGAAGGAAGAAAGAAGAGGAAAGAAAAAAGGAAGGGAAGGAGAAAAGGAGAAGGAAAGTTCAAGCCTTTTAACAAGGAGATAGCTATCAGAAATTTTGCATAACTTATGCGGTATTGAGGCGTGTGTCTGGCCACAGCAGTGGATTTCAGGATACCTAGAAGCAAGCCATACACAAGACTAAATAAATGAGTAATTAAACATTCTGGGCTCTTCCTCACGTGGCCTGCAGCTTTCTCTGATATTTGCAGAAGTCTTGGAACACTCGTAGCCACAAACAGCTCCTGTTCAAATCCATCTTTCAGGAGCTTCAGCACAAATACCAGCTTCCCAAAGTAATTCCCTGTATGTAACAGCCTGGAGAGAGGCAGAACCCTGGGAAGAGAACTGCAGGGGAGCTGGCAGCCGTTGCTATTGATGCCTGGTTTGAGGACTCAAAATCCATTTCCAGAGGGTAGAAGAGGAGCTTCATCTCCCACCAGGTGTAGTTTGGCCCAGGGCAGTGAGCTTATCCCTTCACAGCATCCACCATCCTGAAAAATGAGACTTCTTAGAGCTAAAAACCCAGATTTTTTTCTGAGATGTAGATACAAGCCTTGGGGGTTTTAATTTTACAAATCTGCAGTGTTACAATGAAGAGAAGCCCAGTATCTGTTACCTGCAGGAAAGGAGGGGTCTGGAGGGTCACACATGCTTTGCAGGGGTGCACAATCAGCCCGTGGGCTTGAGGCATGTACTTGGAGCTGCAGGGTTTTTCCAGCTCTTTATTCCTTTATCCCAGACTCACTTAGCCCATGTTTTGGTCAGACATAAAAAAAGAGGGAGATTTCTCTAGCACTTATAAAACAAAGCACTTGGTAGGATCCTGGCTAGACACCAGTGGTGGCTGAAGCAGAAGATTTAGCTGGGTCAGTAACACAGCAGCACAAACTGGGTTACCTCCCACTTCAGCTGCCAAACCAGGAAAGAAAAATACTCAGAATTAAATATATAACAGTACAAAAAATAACAGCAGACCTGGACATGTGTTATCTCTGTAAAGCAGATGTTTTTACTATGTCACATACTGGCTGGTGTGCAGAGGAACTAATAAAGTGATTTACAGCTGTAATTACACTTATTTTATTATATGGGATGAACTACACTGAGGTGCACATCCAGCAAACCCCACTGAATATTCCAAATAAAGGAATTCAATCTTAACCTTGAGCAAGACTTATGGGTGGGGGTTGATACACAGAAGGTTACTTTTTATTGATCTAGCATGTTCCTCCCCAAAAGGGGAGCAGCCAGATGCAGCAGAGGATGCTGAATCCAGTAGCCCACATATGGCTTTTTGTCCATGGGCTCATCCAGAGCTGGGAGTGTGTTCCCACCTGGCACCCAAAATTATAACAGTTTTTTCCTCTCAATTGGCGACATTGAATTATTTGGTTTGTTTTTTTCCAGCTTTTGGAGTGCAGCCATGACGGAGTGGAATAAAAAAAACCCCATGTGTCCACCAGCAGATTTCAGCAGCTGTTTTGGGGTTTGGTGTTGTACAGGGTTTAGTCAGTCTTAGAGAATTGGGATTTTTCAGCCTGGAGAGGAGAAGCTTCAGGGTGATCTAATTTTTGCCTCTCCAGAAGGAGGCAACAGGAAAGATGGAGCAGCAGGGCAACGGGGAATGGCTTCCCACTGCCAGAGGGCAGGATCAGATGGATATTGGGAAGGAATTGTTCCCTGTGAGGGTGGGCAGGCCCTGGCACAGGGTGCCCAGAGAAGCTGTGGCTGCTCCTGGATCCCTGGCAGTGTCCAAGGCCAGGTTGGACAGGGATTGGGGCAACCTGGGACAGTGGAAGGTGTCCCTGCTATGGCAGGGGTAGCACTGGATGGGCTTTCAGGTCCCTCCCCACCCAGGCTATTCCATGATTCTATGATAAATCAGGTATCAAGTAAAAGGTCTAGAAAGGTAAAAATATTTCTAATTCATGTGTTTTCTTCTAAGGTTTTGAAATGAAATTTTATTTTATGGTCAAACCCAAGCAGAGTAGGTCATCTGCTCAGTTTCTTGCAGTTCTGCAGCAGGCACTGAACTTAAGGGAGATTGATTTTTTTTCCTACCTAACACAGTAACCTGGACCTTATCCCAGGAGGAATCTCTAAAGAGGGCAGGAAAAGCCACCTCCTTCTTCTCTCAGACCTTCAGTGGTCAACAGGCATGGAAAAGCCACAGACAATGAGAGAAAAACCAGCTGAAGACATGCAGAGAAAAGTTTTCCTTCACTTGCTCAACTTATCAGGCCAAGAGACCTCCATACCATTCCAATTTTTGACTCAGCCTATTTGAGCAGTCAGATCAGTTCTTGAGCATTTGTAAGATTATCCAATTAAAATGTTAGCAGGCAAATTGGACAGCATGGAATCACTCTACAGAAAATTGCACAAGGCAGGGCTTTTTCCCCAGTGTAATAAAACTTCTCCAAAGGCAGGCTGTCCTTTCATTCCTTTCTGATTGTTTTATAAAGCTTTTGGTGTCTGCCTTTGAAAACTGAAAAACAAATTTTCTACTCAATTTCTTTTCCTCCTTCTTGCAGCATAGAGTTTGCACCAAAACAGAGTAGGGGGAAGGAGGGAGGTGGTGTGAGAAGTGAAAAACCTCACTTTTAAACTGCTGTTAGAGTTGCCCAAAAAGCCAGGGCACTAAGACAGCATAGGATGTTGTGGCAAGGTAAGAAACACGTGAATGGGTGAGGTGAAATAAGAGTAAATAAATGCTGACAAAGTTTTCTTGCAGTAAAGTGTGGGAACAACCATGACCACAGAGCCAACAAGTCACAGAATCTTGGAATGGATCCCCTGCCATGGGCAGAGAAAACTTCCACTGTCCATGGGGCTCCAAGCCCTGTCCAACCTGGCCTTGGGCATTTCCAGCCATCAAGGGGCAGCCACAGCTTCTCTGCACAACAAACATTTGCTGCAAGTATTGTTCATGTAATTTTAACAATTACCCTCTTGTTTTACAGCTATGGAAAAATATTAATGGGGGCACTGAAGATTTTCCACGGCATTTCAGGGTTTTTAATGTCAGCCAGCCAGTATTTTAGCAGTGTGAGACAAAGCTCACCCAGACACAGGGTGTAAATGGAAGTGATCATTTATTTTTGCTGCACAAAGGCCTGTGAAAAACAAACTCCAGATTTTCATGTTTGCTGGGAGTGGGGAATATCTCTGCATGAGCAAGTTCTCATCTTCTCCCTCGCATGCCGGAATTTCACTGCCGGCTTCATCATCGCGCTGGCTTGTCTGACTCATCTCAGATCAACGGGAGCTTGAAATTATCTCCAGGTCCATTATGAAATCCATAACAGGGCTGGGAAGATGTGCTGAGGAGCAGGGTAGGGGGGCAAAGCTTTTGTTCCACCCTGCCTCGGCACAGCCACTCTAAATTGTGCCGTCACACCAAGCAAATAAACAAGAAGCAGCATTTTTGTGCTTCCTGCCTCTTGGGAATTTTTGTATTTCACATGTTTTACTGCAGCAGAAAACACAGAGCTTAATCAGGCTTTTTGTCTGAAATGTAATTGGAGTTTGGCTGTTTTCACCCATTTTAACCACTTCAAACATGAAATTGCAGACTTGTGCATTCACGTGGACTCTGAGCTCGCAGGGCGGGTGTGTTGGCTTTATTCGTGTCACAGACCCACTTTGGACTCAGAAATACTTTCATTCAGTGAAGTGCTGTCCAGAAGCAATAGAGAGATTGGAATTTGGCAAAGATCTGTGGGTTTTCTGCTGGCTCCCAGGGTTAACAGGGCACAGGAATTAAATGCCAAGGAGCCTCATGTCTGTCCTCTGATCTGCCATCACCCAGGAATGGTCACACCAGGCTCATCCTCTCTGCTCCCTGAATAGTAAAGAGAAATAAAAAAACATTATTTACCACTGCAACTATTCTAAATGCGAGAGAAAATGGTACACTGTGTACATAATTACTGTCTGCTGGCTCTAAGGCACAGTTTTTTTCCAGAGAGGAGAGGAATAAAAGTGTATTCCTGCAAGAGATCAAAACCAGGGAGGACAGAACTATGGCAGAAAAAGAAATGCACACAAATAATTGGACTTAGCAGAAATGTGATATCTCAGACAAACAGATAGAGGAATCACTTTGAGAAAAATAAATGAAATGGAGATACAAGGGAAACAAACATAAGTAAAAATAGATAGCATCAGTGTGACAGACTTAGACTTACTTAAGCTTATATGTATTGACTCTAATGGAGGGCTCTGACTGCACTCTGCATTTAAAACTGCAGGACTGGGACCTGTGTGTCCCAAACTGTACCCTTGTAGGTCCACCCTCAGTCAGAATATCCCCATAGACACCAGAGGATTTGGTTACCAGGTTTAGAGCCTCTCTGCAGTCTGGACAGCTTTGGGTTGCTTTGAGTCTCTTGAGCATAGATATTTCCTCTTGTGCCATCACAGCAGCAGGAAAGGACATATTGAAAATGAAGTCAGAGCTCCAAAACTTTTCAAACTTCTGTAGAAGACAATATATAGGGTAAGAATAGAGAGAGCTTAGCAAGGAGTGCATAGCAACAATGGGAAGTTTGCTTTCTGAAAAAAACACAACATTGATAATATGGGTCTATTTATAAAACTTGGGAAGACAAAGATTAAAAACAAGTTCTTAAAATATATTTGTAAAGAAAGTTCAGACTTCTGTTTCCTCCTGATTCTAGGAAAGATAAAAGTTTGTGAGTGTTAGCAACCTCTATAAAGTTGGTCTTGGAGATTTTTTCTCTTTGGGTAGAAAGGGAAAGATGAGAGGCATTGAAGTGATCTGTGAAAGGGGAAGAGCTCATTCATTCTTCACACAAAACACTGGGAATGAACCCACTCAGGTGGATTCCTGCCCTTCTGCAGAGCTGTGCTCCCTGCTGTCCCTGCTTTTGGAAAACATTCATTACACCCTTTCTTTCCCAATCTTTGAGCTTTTCTCCTCAGTGAGTCGAGGTTGCTCAGATGTCAGGGGTGCAGTCTGGGAAATAGCTCTGGAATACAAACGAGTCAAACCTGCCCCTGGCTTTGCTTTCTCTGGGTGTCCAGAGAAAGAAGAACCTGCATTCATCCTGAGTCGCCCTCAGCAGCAAGGTGACCCACCAGCACTGATGTACATGACCACAAATGCAGCCCCAAAAACAAGGTGATCCTCTGGGTCTACCTCAGCTTTGCCTCAGGGTGTAAATGGAGTTTCCAAAGCATCAGGATGAGCTTGGTGCCAAAAGCAGAGTTCCTCAGTGCCCTCCTACTTCTATAACCAGTCAGACAGAAAAGCACTGCCATGGAGACACTCTCCTCCAAACCAGCCAAATACCCCAGCATTTTTGCTGTGAATATCCCGACAGACCCCAAATTAACCAGCAGCCTCCCCAGGAAGGCTCCTACCCCCAGAACTTTCTACCTCATAAGTTTTTGAAGCTCTTTAAATGCTCCCTGCTGTCTCTCCTTATCTCTTTGCCTCTGGTCCAGCTTTCATCCTCCCACTTTTCCTGCAGTGTCCGTGGCAATCTCTGGCCCAGCAGATCCTGGGTTTGACATCCCTCAGACTCCCAACAGATCCAGCAAACCAGCTGTGCTGGGGTTCAGCTCTTTGGCACAGACACCTTGCAGCTTCCATCAAACAAATGAGGGATTCTGCTTTTCCACAGAAATATCCCCCAGCACAGCAGTTCTCTCCATAACAACCTCATCATGTTCAGAGGCAGATGCTCTAAATTAGCTGTGCTCTAGGAACAGGAGCAGCACTGAGGTGGGGGAATGGAAAGGGGATGAGAAGAACTGAAATATGTTGCCAAAGGTCACATTTTCAAACAACTTAATTTAGCTTCATTTTAAAGGGCTTCTTGCCCCAAGACTTCATATAAGTCTTTTTTTTTTCTTTCTTTTTTTTTTTTTTGGTAGCATAGCAAGAAAATGGAAGCATCAACAAATAGGCACGTAGGCTTGTCATTTCAGCTCTTCTCTCATTTCCTTTATTTTCAGTAAGAAAAAGAAAGCAAGAAAACCTGGAAACAAGGCAAGTCTTCTCAGCCCTGAGAACTGCTGAGGCTGTTTAAACAATACAAGCATATAGCTTGCTTAGTTCTTTGGCTTTCTTCGTCAAAGATTAATTTTTGATTAAAGTTTTTCAAAAACAAGTTTAATTGAAATAAATCCTCCAAGCAATTTGTTGAAACTGTTTCCTGATCAAAACAAAATCTGAATAAATGACACCTGATTTTAAAATAATTATATCCAGTGATAATTAGTGTGTTTGCAGGAATGTTTAGCAATTTTTGTGCAGTAAAAGACCAGGAACAAAGTCAACATGCTTTGAGCTAATGTGAACACAGACACTTTTCAAACAGACACTACATAGATGTGAAACTGGGGAAAATAGGATGTCTTTGAAATGAAAGACAGGTGAAAGAGAGAAGTCTGGCTGAGAGGAAGTAGAGAATATGCATCACACATGTTAAAAAAGGAATAAAAAATCCATACTAGGATGAATGCCCTGGTTTGAAGAGGCATTTATCTTGCACTTCCCTGGCATGGGATGTTATTTACTCCTAAGACTGTCTAGTTTATAAGAAAGAGGAAGAAGCAACCTCAACTTCATTGAAACTCATAAATAAAACACCTCTCTACTTTCACCGAGCGCTGCTGCGCTAAAGCATCACAGAAACTTCACCTTAAAAATGCTCTTAAATATTACAACAGACAGCTTTGTTTTCTTGCAGTATTTCCCGTGTTTTATCCACATCCTTTAACTGCTGGGGAGAGCTGGAAGCTGCCAGGTGAGATCAAAACGTGCAGTTAAATTTAAAGGTAGCCAAAGCAGTCCATGAGAGGGAGCTCAGGGTGAGTATTGCATAGCAGCCCCCGAGGAGAAGTGTCACTGACTGTCAGAGACATTCCAGCTGTTTGGGGCCCTGCACATCTTTGTGTGGCATGGATTTGCCATTTCTTACTTCCTCCTTCCTTCAAGGATCGGTCTGAAATGCATCCAGTTCTGGCTGTGCTCACAGTTTCACCTGACTGGATTTTTAAGGGAGGGGGAAAAAAAAAAAAAAAAAAAAAAAGGAGAATTTTAATTTAAAAACTGCAAACGCTTTCTCTCGTGAAAAAATACTTCAGAAAGCTTCAGTGAGGACTGAAAATCAATAGTGTTTTCTTTTTGCTAGGAATAATGGTTATTTCTGAGCGAAGTCCTGGTGCTGGAGAGGGCAGCTGTGGGAGACATGCCCATCTATCCCGTGGATTCACGAGGGCTTTGTCTTTGGCTCCCATTTACACAGCATTAAATTCTGCTGTGTTGACTTTGAGCTTGACACGCCACTAAATCTTCGGTCCCCAAGCAGAGTCCTCTCCAAATCATGGTGTTTCACTGGCTGCCTCAGACCACAAGTGTCACCTTCATTTGAAATTATCTTATCCCAAGTGTGCTTAAAACATTCTCATAGTTTTTGATGAGGTTGGGCCCCGTTCCAAGGCCACGGCCAAGCCAAAGCCCCTGCAAGGGAGGAGGTTTTTCCTGGCTGCTTTCAGGAGGGCCCTTTTCAGGTCTGCTCAGTCCCAAAGTAGGTCTGTTATTATGGAAAAGCAATTTAACGGGATATGAGTTATGACTGAGAGGATCCATGCAGGTGTTCATGGGGTTTAATTAATGTGTTCATATCACACCTCTAATTAATTTGTGACAACAGCCTCAAGTGTCACCAAGGCAGACAAAGACAACTTTGCTGTCCAAGGCTCACAAGAAGTACAAAGGATTTTGTGACTTCTGCATGATGAGTCTGGGGGAACCTGTAGCACCCAGCCCAGGATGGTGTCTGGGAGCAGGAGTCACTGCACGGATGTCTGCAGAGTTAAAATAAATACAGACATGATCAAAAGTTAAATTAGAACCACTCTTATTTTAAAAAGTGACTTTTAAATGTTGCCTGAAAGCAAGAATGGATGCTGTGGTATCAGTGAACCACCTCTGTTGGATCACAGAATCAGGGGATTCCAGAATGGGTTGGGTTGGAAGGGAACTTAAAAATCATCTTTCCAAGGGACACCTTCCACTATCCCAGATTACTCCAAGCTCTGTCCAACCTGGCCTTGGACACTTCCAGAGATCCAGAGGCAGCCACAGCTGCTCTGGGCACCCTGTGCCAGGGCCTGCCCACCCACACAGGGAACAATTCCTTCTCAAAATCCCATCTAACCCTGCCCCGTGGCAGTGGGAAGCCATTCCCCTTCTCCTGTGACTCCATCCCTTGTAAGCAGTCCCTCTCCATCTCCCTTGTAGATCTCTACACCTTCATCTGTTTGATGCAATGGGAGAGCGAGCTCTTTCCTTTTTCATCAACAGGCTCATTTTGCAGATTCTGCCTCAAACGCCGTTTTAATCTCTTCAGCTCAGTCTAGCAGTAAACTCAGTAAACTTCCAGAACTGTGTGTCAGCATTTGTCTCCACACACAAATATGTGATTTGCTGATAAGGCAGATCGGAAGCTGGTTAATTGCATCGGATTTCTCCCTGAAAAGCCTTTTTAACTACCCTCAAATATCATTGAGGCTGAGGCTAAGTACATGTTTGAATATTTTCTTCAGTTCTCTGCTGACAAAACTGCTGATGTGGTTGTTCTTACATCTTATGATTGATCAAAAAAAAAAAAAAAAAGAAAAAAAAAGAGAAAAGGCAAAATTTTAATCCTAACACAAACACACAGATGAGAGACACTCAGAAGGAGGCAATTTCGTACAGAACTGATTTTCATAAAGATTTTTAAGCATTTCCTCCTTCATCAGTGTTTGTTCCTAAGCATCAGACAATAAAGTAAATTGAAGTTTCTCCTACTGATGTAATTTGAATTTATTTTAGTGGCTTTTCCCCATCTTTTACCTTGTGATTTATTCCCAGCAGTAAATATTTGGTGAATAGAGTTTCCTCCCTTTCTCTGACATTTGATTTGCCTGTAACACCACAACTTGAAACAGCAAATCTCATCTGCTCCAAAATCCACAGGACTGGGATCAGCAGTGGCATCAATTGCTTCAGCTTTATCACAGTTCTGAATGTCTAAGTCATTGTCCCCAAAAGTTTTCAGCCTGTCTTGCACTGCCATGACATCTCCTCCCATCTGCTGGGATTCAGTACTCCCCATTTTATTTGCTGTGCCAACAGGAGTTGAATTTCCGCCCTAAATGAGTTCCCTACTTGATACTGAACTCATAAAAAGTCATGGAGATGGTTTAGGTCAGGAATAGAGAAATCCCAATGGAAATGAGAGCCCAAAGGGAGAGGGATGGGGTGCAGGACATGGGAACCTCAGCATGGCTGGAGAGGAAGGACCCAGGGATGCAGAGTGGAGAAGAGCCAGCTGAGAGCAAAATGAATCTGTAATTCATTTCTGGCCTTGGATTAATGCTGAGGGATCAGCTGTGACACAGAATTGGAGCTGGAGGTGCAAACTGAGATGCATCCAGGTGCAGGGGGAAACAGCACAGCAGAAGGGGGCGAATCATCCGAGCAGACACAGGCCAGGAGGAGCTGGGAGCAGGGCAGGACTGGAAAGCAAACTCCTGGAGAATACTAAGCTGTGATAAAAGGAGTGGGAGATTGGAAGGGAGTGC